CGTGCCGTGACCGTGTATGTGCCGTGCGCGTGGCGTGTATGAGCGTGCGTGCGTGTATGTGCGTGCGTGCGTGTATGAGCGTGTGTGCGTGTATGAGCAACGTTGATAGTGTCTACCTGCATGGGCGAGTCGTTGTATGTTTGCGTGGCGTGGCGTGTATGTCGCCAGTGCGTGGCGTGTATGTGCGTGCGTGCGTGGTAAAAATGTGCGTGCGTTCGTGTATGTTGCGTGGCGTGCGTGTAATGTGCGTGGTCGGCGGTATTGGGCGTGGCGTGCCGTGTATGTATGCGGGTGTTTGCTGTAATGAGCCGTGCGTACGTGTAATGTGCGTGCGTGCGTGTATTGATGCGTGTGTGGGCGTGTATGAGCACACGTTGATAGTGTCTAACCCTGCATGGTGAGTGCGTGTTATGTGCCGGTGCGTGCGTGGTGTATGTGTGTAACGTGCGTGTATGTGGCGTGCCCGTTGCGTGTATGAAGTAACGCCTGATAGTGTCTACCTGCATGGGTGAGTGCGTGTATGTGCGTGCGTGCGTGTGGGTGCGTGCGTGCGTGTATGTGTGTACGTGCGTGTATGTGCGTGCGTGCGTGTGTGTGCGTGCGGTGTACTGAAGTAATGTCCCCGTAACGTGCATTAGTACGCTGATAGTATCTACGTCACTAGTACGCTGATAGTGTGTACGTCACTAGTACGCTGAATAGTGTGTACGTCACTAAGTACCGATAGTGTCTCCCGTCAATTTTTTTAGTAGCGCTGATAGTAATCTACGCCACTAGTACGCTGAAACTAGTAAGCTACGTCACTAGTACGCTGATAGTGTGTACGTCACTAGTACGCTGATAGTGTCTCCGTCAATAGTACGCTGATAGTAACTACGTCAATAGTACGCTGATGGTGTCAACGTCAGTAGTACGCTGATAGTGTGTACGTCACTAGTACGCTGATAGTAACTATGTCAATAGTATGCTAATAGTGTCTACGTCACTAGTACGCTGATAGTATCTACGTCACTAGTACGATAGTAACTACGTCACTAGTACGATAGTAACTACGTCACTAGTACGCTGATAGTATCTACGTCACTAGTGCGTTAATAATGTCTACGTCACTAATACACTGATAGTGTGTACGTCACTAGTACGCTGATAGTATCTACGTCACTAGTGCGCTGATAATGTCTACGTCACTAATGCACTGATAGTGTGTACGTCAGTAGTACGCTGGTATGACGACCTGGCTTCCCCGGTGCAGCAGCTTGACAGGTGTGCTGGCTGCATGCTGAAGCAGCAAGGGGACGTCTCGGAAGCCGTGGTTGAGAACGGCGAAGGCGACAGCCAAAGTGAGGCTTGACTGTAAGGCTTAAGCGCAAGTATGCGGCTGAATGCCTGACTGCAGGGGGGCCGGTTGCTGCAGCAGCTAGTCGTATTGTAGGGTCGCTGGTGATGGGAAGTGGAAGACAAAGCTGTGCATGTATGCGCATTTATCTCTTAATGGTTCGCAATCCGTCTCGTGCGGCATGATATTGATAACGAGATCTTATTATGTGGGTGCGTGCATGTACATGCGTGTGTGCGCACGCGGGTTGAGTGAATAGTATGACGGGATTATGGGCGCGTGCGCGCACGTCCTTGAGCGTACTAAAAAGTACAAGCGGTACACCATACGTGTCCTTGAGTATATGATACGTTGCGTGTGAATTAGCCGTGAGTCCAGTACGTGTGTTCAGTGCGTGCGTGCGTAGCGTGGTGTGTTGTGTGTGTGTGTGTGTTGTGTGTGTGTGTGTGTGTGTTGGTGTGTGTGTGTGTGGGTGGTGGACGCCGTGCGGTCAATGGGGCGTGAAATGCCTGCGTGGCGTGCGTGGCCTCAATAATCAATACGTTGCCGTTAAAGTGCAGTGCCGTATGTGCGCAATGCACTGAGTCAGTGCGCATAAAATATTCCGTGAGTCCAGTGCGTGCGTTCGCGCGTGCGTCGTGCGTTCGTGCTTGCAGTTCGTCGTGTGGTTCGTGCGTGCATCGTGCGCGTGCGTCCCGTGCGTTGGCATTCGTCCCGCCACGCGTTCCTTAATCAGTGAATGATGTACACTAAATTGCGTGAATGGTATATAGAAGCGCAGCTTGATGTGAAGTTGTCGCCAGGCAGGCGCCATACGAACGTCCGCTGCATGCGTCCCGCCCTCTGGCTCCAGTCTTCTTTATGCTCTCACAGCTTGGCTGAGAGTTTCTCCCATCGCGCCTGTTTCCGCAGCGTACTGTATTTGCTAGAATCCCGTGTTGCAGAGGCTGTGGAGACCTTGATCAATAGGCAACTAGCATTCATGGCCGTGGAGGCACTCGCATTTTAAACGATAGAATTTATACACCTATTTGGGTGTACTGGGTGCTCAATGCGTGCGTAACTGCGTGTCAACATCTGTGCGTACGTGTGTACGTGTGTGTGTATGTGTCTGTACGAGTATGCGTGAGTGAGAGCATGCGTGCGTGCGCGAGTGAGTGGCGCCGTGTGTGTGTGTCTGTATGTATGAGTACGCGTGAGTGAGAGCATGCGTGCGTGCGTGCGCGAGTGAGTGCGCGCGCGCGCGCGTGTGTGTGTGTGTCTGTATGTATGAGTACGCGTCAGTGAGAGCATGCGTGCGTGCGTGCGCGAGTGAGTGCGCGCGCGCGCGCGTGTGTGTGTGTGTCTGTATGTATGAGTACGCGTCAGTGAGAGCATGCGTGCGTGCGTGCGCGAGTGAGTGCGCGCGCGCGCGCGTGTGTGTGTGTGTCTGTATGTATGAGTACGCGTCAGTGAGAGCATGCGTGCGTGCGTGCGCGAGTGAGTGCGCGCGCGCGCGCGTGTGTGTGTGTGTCTGTATGTATGAGTACGCGTCAGTGAGAGCATGCGTGCGTGCGTGCGCGAGTGAGTGCGTGTGTGTACGTGCCTTAGTGGTAACAACCCATTGATGTAGGTTTATAATAATGTGTGATGTATCTGTGATTGTATAGTCACCTTCATAATAATAATACCTGCATGCTGTGTAGGATTCGCCTGAATAGTTAGAAGGCACATATCCCCAACCGATATTATGTTAATAGACAGCACGGTTTATTCCCGGTTAGCCTACTCCCATTTCGCCTACGGCAAAATTTCAATTTCGCCTACAGCAAAATTCCCAGTTAGCCTACACCCATTTCGCCTACTCCCAACTCGTCTACGCTCAAAATCCACCCCATTCCCATTTCGTCTATACGATCGGTTTGTTCACTAAATAATCATTTATAAATATTAAAATATGGTTTTGATTGGCATACATAGACTACAAGAATCAGAAGAAAACAGGTACAAATAATGAGAACACAACTTGACAAAAATATAAAATACAGTAGCATAAAAATGAAACAATGAGAGTAGGCGAAATGGGAATATTGTCGATTCTGAGAGTAGACGAAATGGGAGTAGGCGAAATGGGATGTTACCGACACCACAGCGGGTAGATCTTCAGTAATAGTACTATATTAGTAAACGTAGCCTCACGCTATTTTCGTTATCCCAGATGTCGAGTTAATTGCATAGCATCAGTAGAGGCAGCTTTACACCGACTATCACCGCACGTAGATGTTCAGTTAATTGCATCCCATCATTAGAGGCAGCCTCGCACTAACACCATCACGGCAGACGCTGAGTTAATGGTGTCACACCGTCGGAGACTGTGTCGCGCCAGCATCAGTTATATGCGCGTTCGGAGTTCGTGTCCTCACCACACTAGAGACAATACATCGCGCCAACGTCACCCATTAGTCACCGCGCACGTCAACGTCACCATTTAGTTGACATTCGAGTCGTCGCGTCGGCGTTGCCATGGTTGTATATAAACCGCGGACGCGTCGCGCGTGTTCCCGACGGTTTTCGCGCGCGCGGAGAACGAGTGTGCCGACGATCGATGCGCGTGCATGCGGCAGGCAGGCGGGGCAGGCGCGCTGGCGAAGCACTGCGCAAACAGGTCGTTTATCGAGCAGCGTTTATGCCGACGACATGCTTATGACGGTTGTCGGCGTTGTTCTCCGCCACCGATTACCGCGTCGTCGTTGTCGCCAAAATTAATCGACGTGTTAGCAGAACCCCGTGCGAACGCTTCTGTGCTCAACCGAAAGCCTGTGTAGAACGTTGTCCATTGCCATCTTCAATTAATGTTAATTTTATTATCATCTCTCTCTCTCTCGCTCACTCGCTCTCTCTCTGTAACCCTTCAGTCTCTTGGGCGACATAGGTCATTTGTGAACTCCCTCCATGTCGCTCGGTTGGTCGTTTTCCGCTCCATTTTCATCTCGGTATAGCCCTTCTTCTTGAGTTCCGCCTTCGAGTCTCGCCTCCAGGTTACCCTAACCCTAACCCTACCCAACGTCTTCCTTGCGGGTTCCAGCTCAGCGCCGTTCGTGTTATGTCGGTCGCTTCCTTCCGCAGTGTGTGGCCCACACCCAGCCCCATTTCCATCTTAGTTTTATTATCATAAATGTGTCTTAATTAAACGCCGACTGTTATCGCGATGGTGTTTTTAGTACACATAATGTTCTTACTAAACGGCGACAGTAACCGTGATGGTGTTGCTAGTAAACGTGTCTTTACAAACGCCAGCAGTGACGGCGGTGCTGCTTATCATACACGATGTCTTTATTGAACGTCGGATGTGACTACTGTGGTGTCTTTAGTCTACCTAATGTCTTTATTGAACACCAGCAGTGACGAAAATTGTGTTTTTGCTATATTGTGGCACTGCAATACGACACTATTATAAGAGTGCGCCACAGAACACAGCTGTTGTCAGCCACAGCAAGAGTCACGCGACACAGAGCATTGTATGCAGAGTCGCGCTGGTCGTCGGTCCAAACCGGACACAACAGGTTTAGACTGGGCGTATGGCGGGCTTGACCTAGATGGAGAAGAAGGAATGTGCGGGAGGGGAAAGCAGGGTGTGGCAAGGCGACGGCCGAGTTTGTGCATGTCGCATCATATGTATTAGAATAAAGCCGTCTATAATATATAAGACGTCTTCGACCATCACTGTCTACGAACGTTTACTGACGTGTACGAGGGACGTACGAATACCAACGTTACATTGGTGCCGTGACCAGAATATACCTATTGTATTTATTGAACGTCGGCTGTGACCGCGATGGTATTTTTAGTGTACGTATCTTTACAGGATGCAATAATTCTGTATTTTACTGAGTGTAGGGATGATTGGCAGTGCATTCGCCTGTCAGGGTGATTGCCGACATGTTCAACGCATATCGTGTGAAACTCTATACTCGAGAATTACTTCAGATTTCTTCGCGTGCAGCGAGTCATTCCACGTACGGATCCTATCAATCGCTAATGATAATATCATATATAACGTGCACACACAATACGTAATCAGGCGGGGTGGCTGCGGAAAGACGTATGCATGCAGCTGTGCTCAGCATGAAATCTCGTTCGATATACACCACCGTATAATCAGTCACGTATCTAGTGACAATCGTTGCGTGAAGCTGCCCTCAACACAACCTTGACCACGCTAGCTTGTCGTTCACGCTAACGCCACACTTGACCACGCTAGCTCACACCAACGCCACAATTGACCACGCTAGCTCACCGCTCTAACTAACACCACACTTGACCACGCTAGCTCACACTAACGCCACACTTGACCATGCTAGCTCACACTAACGCCACACTTGACCATGCTAGCTCACACTAACGCCACACTTGACCATGCTAGCTCACACTAACGCCACACTTGACAATGCTAGCTCACCGCTCACACTAACACCAAACTTGACCATGCTAGCTCACCGCTCACACTGACACCACACTTGACCACGCTAGCTCACCGCTCACACGAACACCACACTTGACCATGCTAGCTCACACTAACGCCACACTTGACCATGCTAGCTCACACTAAAGCCATCCTCTCGTTGTTGCAGTCCAAGCAAGCAGAACGCCAGCTTAGACTCGCGGCTCGACTCGACTCGACTAGACGAGGAACATCGACTCATAGCGCGTTATGCTGCCCGTCTAGCTGCCGACATGAACAACGCGGTAAGTATACGTACGCTCGCTCGCCCGCACCAGACCGAAGCCTGGCACCTTCTACTATGCCCCGCGTGAGTATGACAACCGCAAAATATAATGTAAAATGTGAATGTAAGCCATTTTACATGTTACATTCACATTTTACATTATATTTTGCGGTTGTCATACTCACGCAGGGCATGATGCTGAGCGGTGTTCATAGCGTAGGTAAGCGGGAAGATGTGCGACTCGAGGAAGCTTAGATGAGAGGATATGAGCGGGATTATCTTTTATGTTCATCGCGTCTCAGCCGTATTTAAATTGCCGTTGAAATCCTACATGCAGCGTTTTTGCGTCGTAGGCGGCTCAATTCGTGGACGCGGTCTCGGATGCAAAACCGCTGCAATATTTTTTATTTTGTAGAGTAATATTAGCTATTATTCAGCTTCCTTGCATTTCGAGGATTATGCCCAGCGAACGTCAAATTGGGTAGTGAGGCAAAATTTCGACGGGATATTTATCTACAGTTTGCAGCCGATTTACGTAGACGGTTTCAGTATAATATGTTGCTTGCTGCATCGAGCAGATATTACGGATGGCCAGTTCGATAATTGACGTGTGTCCAACATGGGATGCTTCATTCGTATATAGAGTAGATCGAAGTTTCCCTGACACGGCGCTGATTAACGCTGATTAAGCCAAAGACTTCGCGCGGCCGGAGAAGGGTGCAGTGACAGTCAGTTATTATATATCTGCACTTCTCCTGGCTCACGATTCACCCCGTGTCGTAACTACCGTTTGTTGTTTTCGATGCAAACGCAGCGATATCCACGCTACAGACGGAGACGGACGTCGGTAAATAATCACGCTATATATGCGTACACACCTGTACACACCTGTACACACCTGTTTATCTACGTATCACCAGCGCACTAGTGCACTTTGCGTAGCTAGCGCACTCGGAAACACAAGTAGAGCAGACTTACGTACGATGACGCACGGCTAATGCGATACCTGGGTAGTGTGCTTGTCGGGGCCGGCATGGAACTACCGCCGGCGGGCAGCAGGAAATTAATTCTTTCTCGCAGCGCCCAGAGCAGAGCTATTTCGCGCGATATATAGAAATCGGTAGCAAAGTCTGTCGGTAACTCAAACAGGGTGCGCGAAAAGTAAACTGTCCACTGAATAGCTATCGAGAATATGTCGAAATGCTTACATGTACAGTGTCACATCGATCGTTTGAAAGATACCAAAATGTAAGCATATGTATCCATTCCGTATATAATTCCCGTTTACACGCGTCTGGTCATAGTCATGACAATTTCTACTTCATCGTTTCCTGTGTAGTACATTCCTCTCTATAGTTTTGCCTATTCGGCCAATTAGAGTTTCTTATTACTGATCGAGCAGTTGAAGTTTTACTGTGTAGTACAGTGGCCTATGAAGACCAAATCAATACTGATGGTTTAGACGCAATAGCTAACCCTACAACTCTTTACACACTATTCAATGGGAACCCTACGGGAGGGTCTAAATATTGCTTTGAGCAATTTGTAAACGGATCTCGCCCAATTAACGAGATGGGGAAAAGCTCACGGCGTGCAGCTGAGAAACTGCTAACTAATTAGTAATAGATCCTAGGCAAGTTCTCTTCCGAGATCCGAACCGACACTGCGTGATGTTATTTCGTTTTATTTATTTTTTCGTAGTTTTGTTTTATTTTACGTACGTAAGCGCGCTGCGACCGGCGCCCACTATCTACACTCGCACGCACGAACACACGCACGGGCACACACATACATGCATCCTGTTATCACTCTCCATCCTGCACTCGTTGTATAACGAGCACTGTAGATACAACACCGAGTCACTACACTAGACACTAGCTAGCTCTCACCATCGTAGTGTGTGCGTGAGTGTGTGCGTGCGTACGTGTGTGTGTGCGCGCGTGCATGCGTGTGTGTGCGTGCGTGCGTGTATGCGTGCTTGCGCTGCGCTGAACGTGGCTGTGGGTGTGGTCTTGTTGCGTGCGTTGTAGTGCGTGCGTTGCGTTGGCGCGCGCCGTGTGTGTTGTGTGATGTGTGTGTGTGTGTTGTGTGTGTGTGTGTGTATGGGGAAGGTACGTCGGGAGCGTAGCGTGGGTTGGTGTGCACCTGTCGTTGACTGTCATCCGTCACGAAACCGCCCGCTCACCGTGTTTATACGCGTTCTTTCCGCACATGACAGTTAATGGTACATGACGTTCGTGAAAGGAGATGACATGTGTCGTTTCGCACGCGAGCGTAATGTAAATCGTGCACGCGTTTTGTCGTCGGCGTAGATTTCGCCGCGATACTCTCTTGCGGGCTGTTAACTTCTGTGGCTGGCGCGGCTGCTTCGCATTACCTATAGTTAACGTCGTCCTCGCCGGTTACAGTGGTTAAATCTGACCGCGTTTTTGTTTGTGCGCGCTGCGCTAATTGTCTCATAATGAGGACGATTACAGACTGAATGCTTGCGAATCCGCAGCGAGTCTGGTTTCAGCAATTAGCCGGCGATAAAAACAACGAACATTTACGGAAACAAACCGCGCCGCGATATCGGCTTACACGCGGCCATCACAGGGCTTCGTGCGACAGCCGTGCCTTCGACCGCGGCTCGGACGCACATACTCACCGTGTACGGACGCACATACTTTATCGATGTACGGCACGCGAGCACATACTTTATCGTTGTACGGACCGCACATACTTTACCGTGTACGCGACGCAGCGTACTTTATCGGTACCGGAAGCAGTACTTTTTTTATCGGATAGTACGGACGCACGTAACTTTATCGTTTACGGGTAACGGCAGACTATACTTTAGTCGTGTTACGGAGCACGTACTTTTATCGTGTACGGACGCACGTACTTTATCGGGTAAGGACGCCACCGTACTTTATCGTGGTACGCGACGGCCAGCTTTTACTTTATCGTGTACGGAGCTAGTATTTAAACGTGCTACGGACCAATACTTTATCGTGTACAGACGGAGTACTTATATCGTGTACGGTATCGCACGTACTTTAGCTTGTTTACGCACGACGAAGCGTACGTTTAGTCGCTGGTACGGAGGCAACGTACTTTAGCGTGTACGGACGCACGTATTTAAGCGCGTACGGAACGCACGTTACTTTATTCGGTGGACGCCGGGACGCACGTTACTCTCTATCGTGTTACAGGAGCACGTTACTTTACGTGTACGGACCGCACGTACTTTCCTATCGTGTACGGACGGCACATACTTTATCGTGTATACGGACGCGCACTACTTCTACCGTGTACAGAACGCACGTACGTTTATCGTGTACGACGCAGGTACTTTATCTGTTAGACAGGAACCGGCACATACTTTAATCGTTGATACTGACGCACGTACTTTATCAGCTGTTCCAGGACCGCACATACTTTATCGTGTTACGGACGCACCGTTACTTTATCGTGTAACGCACGCAACGTACTCTTTTTCGTGTACGACGCACATCCTTTATCGTGTACGGAGACGCACTGCCTACTTTAATTCGTTTGTAACGGAGCAGTTGCACATACTTTTGGTTGTACGGAGCACGTAACTTTTATCATGTACGGACGCACAGTACTTTGAATCGGTGTACGACAGCAACATAACTTTATGATGTTACGGGGGGCAGCAAACTATTACCAGTGCTACGGTGACGCCAACGCTACTTATATCCGTTGTACGGCACGCACGTACTTTATCGTGTACGGAGGCACATATTTATCGTGTAGCGGCACGCACGTACTTTGTTCGTTGTACGGACGCACATTAGCTTTAATCGTTGGTACGGACGCACCTGTACTTTTATCGGTTACGACGCACGTATTAATAGTGTACGCGAGCGACATATTTATCGTGTAGGAACGCACGTACTTTATCGCTGTACCGCGACCGCACATCTTTTATCGTGTACGGACGCAACGCTACTTTATTCATGTACGACGTCACGTACTTTTATCTGTGTCAACGGACAGCAACTCACTTTATCGTGTACGGAACGGCACATAACTTTACCGTGTCACGACGCAGCCGTACCATTTATTCGATTCTGGTACGGGACGCAAATACTTTATCGTGTTACGGACCGCACGCTCTACTTCTTATCGTGTACGGACGCACGTACTTTATCGTGTACGGACGCACGTACTTTATCGTGTACGGACGCACGTACTTTAGCGTGTACGGACGCACGTACTTTAGCGTGTACGTACGCACGTACTTTAGCGTGTACGTACGCACATACTTTAGCGTGTACGGACGCACGTACTTTAGCGTGTAAGCGCTTCGTTGAACACGACGTTATCGTGTGGTGCTTCTTGGTCGTTCGCTCGCGGGGCTTCGCGTGACGGCCGGCGTACGACGTAGGAATCTGTCATCAGGGGAGTATAGGGAGTCGCCATGGTGACCGCTGACGCTACACTTATCGAATGGTGGACGGATCTCCTGGTCGTGACCGCATCGCGGTCGACCCTCCCCGTGTCCGCTTCGGACCTTCCGTTCCGCTTCGAACCACGAGTTCCCGTGACCGTCCCGTGAGGCGGTCGCTGACCCCGCGGTAATGATGGCGGAGGGAGCCAGACACAGTGCGAATGAATACCCCGGGGTGATCCACTACATGTAGCTTCATGGTGACAGTGGAGCCGCGCGGCGTGGCCGGTGGATAGAGAGGCGTGGTGGCCGTGCGTGGCGAAGTGAGAATAAGTATCTAACATAACAAGAATTTCGGTACGAATCTAATGTAGGAAGAAAGTGTGATTTAACGTTTTACCCAGGTCCGAAGCTACGCAGCGCGGTCTCTGCATCCATCACGAAGATTGGTGGCGAATGTGATTGCCAGCGAAATCCCTCATTGCGATCTAATGGTGATCAATCGTACTGCAATCCACGCGGGCATTCATTCACGCAAAACGCTGGTTCGCGCCGCGGTAAAAAAATGCCCTTGTTTAATTCCGCGCGGGTTTAAATGTGTAATATTGCGTGTATTGACT